GCCGGTGGCTGCGCTGGTGCTGGATGAGGCCGGCGCTCTGGCTGAAGGCCTTCCCGCACTCCCGGCAGCGGTACCGCCGGTGCGCGTCGTGGATGCCGCGGTGATTGAACAGCCCCGAGCTGCGGCTGAACGCCTTCCCGCACTCGCCGCACGCGTAGGGCCTCTCGCCCGTGTGCACCCTGCGGTGGCGGGTGAGGCCCGAATTCTGGGCAAAGGTCTTGCCGCACTCGTCACATGTGTGCCATCCCCGCCCCGGGGGGCCGCCCCGGCGCCCCTCTGCCCAGCCCTGTCCAGGCCCGGGCCCCCCGCGTGCCTCCTCCCAGGTCTGTGCGGAAAGGACTTCCCCGCGGGACTCTGCTATCTCAGGACAGGCTTTCCTCGGCACCACTTCTCCGTCCTCAGCCATGCTCGTTGCATCTGAAACACAAGAGACCAGGCAAGCGTCACCTGCTCCGACCCCACGGGAGGGTCCCTGTGCGCACAAAACCGCAGACTGCTTCCGCCTGGTGTGATCCCAGGTCGCAGAGCAGAGAGGAGCTTGGAAACAGAAGGGCCAGTGCGGAAGCCTTCCTCCAAGTGACAGGGAAGGCTGCCCTCCGGCAGAATGTGGCTCAGTCCTTCCTGACAGGGCAGGGGCCTGGAGAGGATTCCTCAGGCTTCTTCATGGGGAGGGCAGCTCAACGTCAGGGTGCCTTCTCCTAGTTTTCCCCTAGAACCCCTCCCCGATTTGGGTGCAGAGCCTCAAAGAGACCATGTACTCATTCATTCCTTTATGGAACAAGTGCTCCCACTCTTCTGGGGGCATCGGACAGGAAGTACTACAACCGTCAGATCCGCGACATCCCAGGTGTGTCCCAGCACGTCCCAGGTATGACCTGGCCTGTCCCACTGGGCTCCAGCACAAGGCCCTTACTGGCTCCACACTCTGCCTGGAAAGCTCTAGGCTCGGACAACAGCTAGAGTTTGCTCAGTTCCCACCTTCTTGGTTCCTGTACTCAGGGCTGCGGTTGGCCTGCCACACCCATGGCGCCCTCGATGCCCCCGACTCGCTCCAGTCCCGGCCTGGTGCACAGCACTGACCACCGTCTGACACGCTGCATCGCCACCCCGTCTGTGTGCTATGTGTTTCCCCCATCCCACAGTCTAATCTCCATGACAGTGGGATCTTTTTGTTTTATTCCTTGGGTCACGGCTGGCACATGGCAGTTATTCAATAAATATTTGTTGAATGAATAAAAAACAAAGGACTGAAACCGAGCCTGCTGCTACGGCCTCAAATGACCGGCCCAGGCATGGGCACAGGAGGCACACGGCACCCGATGGAACTGGCCCACACCGGACACTTGTCCAACCAACCCAATCGGACTTGAAGGAATTGAAGGCAGGAATGGAGACACACAGACCCAAACTGTCTAGACAGCAGAGCACAGCCCAGTGGAATCTTCAGGATGTCTCAGGTTCCCTGGGCATGACTGCTGGGGGAAGCCATTGAGACTACGAGACAGCCAACCGACCCATGAGCTGGATCTGGACAATCGAAAGCTCCTCACCCCCTCCCCTGAACTTGAAACGTGAGCTCTAGCTGCCTGCCCCGCTCCCAAAAGCTGCCCCAAGGACAGTGACTACCTGGACAGCACGCATGACTGCAGTCAGGTAAAGCCTCTACATAAACTTGTAAAATGTGTGGGCGGGTGCCGAGATCTACGCATTTTGCCATGCCCAGGACAAGCCTCCTTTGCTTATTAAAACTGCCATCTACCCCCTTTCTCTGGTCTCTTCCTGCCCCCCACATAAGGGGCAGCCTCAGGTGACACCTGGGAAGCTCCCAAGGACCTTGTGAACCAACAGATTTCCACCCTGCAACCCAGAAAAGTCTCAGGAAAACACCCACCAACCCCCGTCCTTTTGCCAAAACATCCGGCTTTTTCTCTCCCATCTAATTGTACTGTCGCTCACGCACCAGAACAGGCGCCTTGTAGGGCTCCTCTGTTGTCAGACCACGGTTCTCCTGCTCCTTTTAGCTGGGGGAGGACAACAGGTGTGGAAAACAGGAATGTGTCTGCAGAGAAGAAACGGACCACAAATGGGATCAGTACTGGCCTTCTGCCCAAACTTCATATTTATAGTTGAGATATACCAGGAAACCGGGTAGAATGAAAGCAAAGACATTTCTCACCTTTTTCATAATTAGCACTTACACAGCCCTCCATGACTTACAAGGCGCTGTCACATGTGGTATCACCCTAACTCACCTCTTTATTTGGGGTTCTTATACCACCTCTTTAACAAACTGCATGACAAAAGGTAGACCTGTAGCTAGACAGACTCTACACGTACATAGAAAAAGTCTGGAAAATACACAACAATTTAACAAGTGTGGCTACTCCTGGGGAATAAAATTCGGAGAACTTTCATGTTTTACTATATACAAACTCCTATATTATTTGGATTTTTTACTATCAGCATGAATTCTGAAAGAAAAGCAAACTCAGTACTATACAGTAACCTTAAATGCAGCTTAATTTAAAAAAATTGAAGAGCTGGACGTTGGTTTTTGGTCCTTGTAATCTCAAACACTTACTATGTTGCTTAACAAAACTGGCTTTTCCTACATGTACAACATATACCTGCGCTGACAGTCCTAGAAGAGAACTTTTTGATTTGTAGATGTCCTCTGTGTATTCTCCTATGGCCATGGCAAATGCTTAATGAAT